TTAACCCAACGAACATTTGTAAATCGCTTGACTGGTAGTCATCGAAACAGGGAGTCTGATCGGCTTATCTCTAGGCTAACGCTATTGCCACCAACTCCTACATTCTCCAAGCTCAAACATCCATTTTCATCTGGATCTGAAGTACTTAAAGAAGCTACATAAGTAAAAGCAACCGAAGAAATAGCACTACCTATAGTGATTCCACTCCCGTTAGCATCACGTTTATTATTCACATCAGCCACGCTATTAATAGACACGTGAGGTTTCACCTCCACCTTGACGTTATTGTTGTCCACAATGATGTTCCCACTATTCACAGTTAATTACGAGTTGCGGGATAGTTGGCATGCAGGCTTCAAAGCTAAGCTACCACTGCTGCCACTTACACTAACACTATCAATGTTGCTATGACTACTTGGTCTAGTATACGACCGTCCATCCGTTGACTGTAAACAAACATCAGCAGGACGCGCTAAGCTGCTATTATCTTTCGCTTCAATATCATGATGCTCTGTAGAATTAGATACAGTAGCCCGCAGACATCCTGATTGCTCAGCAACATGAAGTGTTGTGTCACTATTTACGCTTGTTGTCCTGGGATCAACTCTAGGTCGTGTCAAATAATTTACCCCACGTGAAGGGTTCCGAACAAAAGCTTCATTCCATACAGTCAGACCTGTTTTGTCCTTATTCATATTCACTTTACTCATCAACCTCTGTTTGCTCGAATCCAAATTAACATTCCTTGCATTTCGAGCAGTTAAGAAGCTTCTACCATCACATACCTCGGATCCGTCTTGATGCCTACCCTTTCTGCCTTTTCCCTTCTTTGCCATCCTCAAAAAGGCCACCTTATCTGCTACAGATACCGACTTCTCACTAGGATACACATCAAGGGATTTTAAACCATCAGGGTCACATGCTTGGTCTTCAAGAGCTATATAATACGATTAACGACTCTCTTAAGTCCCGGGCGTGAGGTAGGTGCAAACACATTTGAAGAATCCCCATGTCTCGCACGCAGATGACTAGTCGCTTCCATATCGTGTCCTGTTTTCGCTCGATTAGCTAATCTTCCGAATCTACTACTAGCTATCCTAGCACGAGACATAATAAAGTCAGTCAATTCATTAAAAGTAGGCTCTCTTTCCTCTTCGTCCCACTTAATTCCCAGCTCTGCCCACTGGACTTGCATTCGATGAGGTAAGAGCCTAACTATTCGCTCCAAAGTTACTAGGGAGTTTAGTTCCGCTGTACAGTTTAATTGTTCCAGAGTCAGAGCAACGTTCTGCATCTTAATTGCCAAATTCGACAATTGCTCTGGGTCGTTGTAATCAGCATTCCCAGATCTAAACAAGTCTTCCAAGGTTTCACTAGCTATTACGTGCGATTGTCCGGAAAGCTGCTTTAGAATCGCCTTAGCCCTTTTATATCCTGTGTGGGGTTCCATTATAAGACATCCTTCAATCACATCTCCCGCCTTTCCCTTACAATAGTGGATTAAGTACAATAAGCGCAGATTGTCATCAATAACTCTAGGTTCTATAAATGATTCGAATTGTTTTACAAACCTAAAGTAATCGCGGTGTCTGCCATCGAAGAAAGGGAGTTCTACCTTTGACAACTCTAATCCAACTACCGGTGTCCTAGGCCTCAAATCCTTCCCAGATACCTCTAAGTCCTCGTCCAAACTTTGTTCCTTGGTACCCTCTAATGATGACTTACAACAATAAGTACTAAGCATGATATCGTCCTTACTAGAGAGTGAACCCTTTAAAAATGAAGTTTCATAAGGGACTTGCCTCATATCCCGCGATTCTTCAAGGACTCCATCTCTCTTCGTGTTTGCTTTCTTACGAGAACTCATGATCAATTGAAATTCAACGGAAGGTAAACAAGAAAGACCAAGTATAAAGCTTCTTCGGCAATGAGAAATCCAAAACGACCAAAAGATCGTCTTCCCAAAATACAGTTTAAAAATAGTAAATGATAAGTAATCCAAAGGTTCTTCTTCCAGGTATTGTTTTGAGATTGTGAACGGTAAAAATTCCATAAGATTCTTCCTCCTTTTACAGTTTTGAACTATAATGGATTTTCTACTCTAGCAGTTCACTCCGGCCCGAACAGTGTAGGTTCATGCGCGTTCACCCAGTCAGGGATCACAAACACGATAATTCTGGGAGAAATCGGTTCTATTAATCGATAAAATGGAAATACAGACAATTACCAAAACGATATTACACCTTCGAGTTTCCAATTACCACAATAGGTATCCGTTTTACGGAAGAATAAGTGCTTCCAGTCCGTTACTGCTAAAGTATCAAATCCAAATATGGCTGTAGCCATATTAAATATCAAATTTAAACAACATATTTACAGTTCAGAAGGAAACATAAAAACTTCAATATAAGTACAAGGTATAGAAATAATAACAATATACAATGATAAAATCTCAAAATGGAATCAAATAGAGTACCAAAATGTCAACAGAAAGAGTCGGTCATATCATAACACAAATAGATATACATGGAGGGTTTTTGCAAGAAGGCAAACCTTCAAAATAGATTCTAGAATGTGTTTGAAATCAAAGTGGTTATGTTTTATTCACAATATACTGATGCATTTCAGATTATTGCTGTGGGTCATTTTGAATCTATATACTATCATCCAAATTTTTTTATCATCATCCACATCTAGGTATCTAATATCCAATATCCAATATCTTTTTCACGAGCTAGTCTATACCAATTTGATTTCTTCGCGCTCGATTCTTGTTCTTTCGGAACGGTTCCAGGTGTTCGGTAATGTCCAATGAATGGAGGTCTAGCCACTCGACTGTCTAATTCTAGTCAGTTGGCAGTTGGTTGTGAGTTTGTATGTCTCGGGATGAAACGTTTGTTTCAGGGCAGTAGGGTTTCTGGATACTAGCAGCCGTCACATTTCCAAACCGGATATCAGTTAGTTGCAATGTGGAGAGTAATAAGGGTAATAAGGGTACATTAAAATGATAATATGAGTAAAATTTCAGAACTGAGTAATGTATGGATGAATTTACTTTATTAATTGGTAGTGACGATTGTGAGAGAGGACCGAAGTGTAAGCAAGGGAGAGGAATATGCGAGATAGATTAATTAAGTGATCTGAGGAGATGGCAATGGTAAGAACTAGCAGGTCTCAAGATATGCATCAGGCACAGCTTTTCCAAGAGGGAGATGATAGTCCGCATGTGAGTACGTGATTATCAAGTCTCTTCTTAAAGCAGTCCACTGAGGGTGCTGTAACTACCTCGGCTGGGAGAGCATTCCAAGTTGCGACGACTCACAATGAGAAAAAGTGTGCACGAATCTGAGTGTTTGCTCTTTGATGTGCGATCTTTTGAGGATTGCCTCAAGGGGAGTGGTGGTGATGCATCGGTAATATGCTCACATTGGGATGGTTTGGCGTGTTTAATATGGTGTACGCCATAATCAGGTCACCTCTGATTCTCCTGTAGCTCAGTGGGAATAATCCCAAGAGCTGGAGTCTATCGTCGTACGGTTTATTTTTCAACCCTATCACGCATTTGGTTGCTCGTCTCTGCACTCGATCCAAGAGATTAATGCCTCTTTTGAGTAGAGGGGGTGCAATGACGTTGTGAACCTCCAAGTGTGGGCGCGCGTACGTCTTAAAGAGGGTTAAAAATAATTTCGGGGTTATAGCACCAAGCTGTCTTCGCATAAAGTGAAGAGTCGCATTTGCCTTGGCTGCATCCCCTACATAGTATCATCAGCATATTATATGACGAAGGATGTAGGAGATTTTGAACGTAATTTACACAGATGAAATAATTATGATACAAAGAATATATGGAAGAGCACTCAACTAGTCACAGTTTCCGCGGTTGACAACTTGGCGTTAAGCATTATTACTTTAGGGCGACTATCTAGGACATTTTATATGCACGTAAATAATTTACCTCCTAACCCGATATCACTTAAATTGGATAATAGCCAGTTGTGCATGACTTTGTCGATAGATCCACCAAAGTCGATCTAGGCTACACTTAAAGGTAGCTTTTGATCTTTAAGGGCTAACGAGACATTAACAGCCTTTTCTACAATCGAAGATCTTACCAACCTAGAGGTGGCCGATCTCTTTAACACTAACTTCACCAACTTGTTAAATCAGGTTCTTGCAAGTTCGGAGTATTACTTGGACCTAGTGTCAGCTGATGGCCTTAGGAATATCTATCTTATTCCTGGTGTAGTGCTTAAAAAACCGGAATCCCTACACGCAAGAAAGTCATCAGACACTATCTATCCTATAATCTTGAAACACTCTGCGGAAGCCTTCAGTTCACCGGTGTGGGACATCTTCAGGTTTTAACTGAAGTCACACAAACTTCCAGCCAAATGAGAACAAGCTGCTCTGTCTGCTTCCTTCAAAAGAGGAGATAGTAAGGATCCAACCTGTTGCAGACCAGTTTGATTACTACCATCGAATAAGAGAGTACATGGCTGAAAACAACATTCTTCATGAAGCCCAAAACAGGTTTGGGAAAGGTTGGTCATGCACATCCAATCTTCTCATACCGGTTTGTATGGTACTCTTTGATTCCCGAAAGCTTTGGTCACAGTATCTCACTAACTCCTAGTTGCGAAATTTGTGAAAATGATCTACACTGATCCACCACTCCTTGGCTCAGTAAGCACCTTGAGAACTGAGAGTTTAGAGCCAAGGATGCATAGAATTTGGTGAGTCTCAACATCAGAAGTTTCGCAAGAGACCAATACTCTATCTTAATTTTATCAGTGACTTCCTAAATATAATTACATCAGCGGCGCTATTATACGCTTAAAACTAAAGATATGGAGGTTCATAAGAAGCGAAAATGATTCGACAGTAGAGGAATGGACAGTGGACAACCGGCTAAAAATCTACCAGTCTGAATTTCACTCCATGCACGTCAAACGAGCTAGCTAGTCACAAAGATATTGGATACAGAATAGATGCCCTCAATCGTTCCTGAACGCGGTAAGGTTAAAGTTAGACACTACTTAATGTAGATTACTTAAGTGGTAAGTTTCTGTAAGATTTGTTATTTCATGGGCTACAGTCTGACTCAAAAAAGGCACAAAAATATTAAACAGCTTCTATGCCACAGAAAATTTGAATTTTTTTACTTTTCAGTACAAAGTTGCATTATGTATTTATTCCATGTAGAACAACCTCTTCAGCTAGCGTATTCGTGATCTTATCAACAGACTATCTCAAGCAAAGGTTGGAAGAATAATTATTCACGAATTAGCTTCAGTTAGGACATACAGTAACAACATAACGTTCTTAATCAGGCTTTATTGAGGTTGCCAAAGTATCGAACATATCTGTTCCACACATAACGCTTCAGTGTTTTGGCTTCATGCAGTTTCCAATAAACTGTACACAACATAATGAAGCCTGTTACTTGTGTGAACAAATCATTGTAGAACATTTTGCATGATACCCGGTACCTTCGTACTGAAACGTAGTGAAATGACGATGTTTAACGTGACTTGTTGCAATGAAATACAATCGTTCTCAATTATCTGTTTTTGAGTGGAGTTTGCGAAAATGAACACAGGATTTTTCTTTACCTCAGCTTTATACCAAAGTTTTATATTGTCTTGTTCTCTATAGTTATTTTATGCGTGCATTTTAGTTGAAACACTGTGCTAAGTTACATGTGGTTAGAATTATAAAAGTGAAACTGTAACTGAAAATATATGCATGGTTAGATTCCATGTGATAATTATGAACAATGATAACATATGTAAGGTGATGTGTAGCTCAACATTAGTGACAGTAATGAATTTATTCATTAACTCCTTTTAGGTCTTTAATTTCCAAAATATCTCATTTTCACTAACCCCTTGTTTTTAAATCGATTTATAAACTTGAAAAAACATCAGTCGGTCAGTATTTAGCAACTAAGGGAAAATAAAAAATGGATGTTTCCTGAGGCACTGCCAACTATTCTAACCCATATCACTTAAAGTCTCTGACCATTGGTTACAATAATCACATGGGTCCCAACCAAGTAACTTGGGCTTGGCCTAGTGCAATAGTCAGTGATTTCATCGTCTGATGACATTTTGGTTTTTACACTCTTAGCTTTCTCCCAATCTACTTCTACTCCAACCAACATTGTAGTCAGCTACTCAGCATGCACATTACATATCCTAACCACCTCAGCTAACCAGGATTCACTAAGTCATCAACTGTTTTACCATCTTAACCTAACACCCTCTGTCTTACTTCAACATTGCTTACCTGGTGGTTCTAAAATACACTAGCGATTCTCCAAAGGTACTTATGACTGTACTACACTATTAGCCTATAGATATTCTCTATTCTTCATAGCCAGTAAACGTAAAATAGATCGTAAAGTTCAACAATGAACTCGTCTTTTGGTTGTCAGATGAACATGTCGAACAAAACACAAGTTAGCAAACGTCAACCAAACCCTATGAGTCCGTGCCGAGTTTTTATCAGATATTAGGGTTAAGAGACTTCCAATAATAAGTGAAGTGATCTAAGCGCTCAACCAACTCACCTTCTGTCACATATCACCTCTGTCAATCTTCCCCTAAAAAAATATAAAACTGTTACGTAAGAATGTACATGTTGTTAAAGTATTCTTACTTTTTTAAAATTTGAAATGCAATATTGCTTAATATTAATGTTTGTTTAGATATTTCTCAACTGTACACCATCTCTCACCAGTGCAATTTATCATTCAGGAAGTATCAACAACACCAAACCATCAAAGAGAAAAAACATGTTGAAAAACTTAACAAAGTAAACGAATGCGATTATTATTTTTTTTTAAAACCCATAATCCAAATTAGTTTGTTTATACAAAATTTATTTATTCAACCGAAAATAACCAACTATTATTATTATCCTGCTGGACTGCATACAACAGCATTTATCATGTAGGTTAATAGAAATTGACTGGAAAAAACTAGTAGTTAAATTCTTATTATTTTCAGGGCAGAACCTTTAAAAAGAAAAAAACGTGTTGATCCAGCTTTAGAACAAATTCGTATAGGTAGAAAAGTTAGAAAAATTGAAAAAGAAATCAAACGTTTTAGTCGTTTCGATCGAATATTAAGACCAATTGAAGAGATTGAAGGTAATCGTCAATTGAAAAAAGAATTAGAGTAAGTATATAAAGGATATTTTTGTTATTAGAAGTACTATATATATTTCTTTTTCTATACTTCAAAACATTTGCATTGGCATGAACAAGTGTCTAAGTATTTATTTATTTGTATGTCACACAAATTGACCAGTGGGGTTGAGATACTCTGCATCGCTTCTCAAACTGAAGCAGATAGTTATGTAAAGGGTTGTTAATTGTTGAATCATTGACTCGAAAGTCTTTTCTGCATAAGACAGTGAAACAACGTGAGATGTAGTCATATAGTGAGATAGACAGATACAACATAGAACTTCATACGTACGTACATCAGTTCAGGTTGCCATACCGCATCAGACATATAATTGTCAGTTCAAATCCAATAGTGGTAGCGATAGTAGAAGTATTAGCAGTAATGAAGAAGATTAGGGTTCGAAGAAGTTTAATTCAGTGAGAAAGATAGAGATGGTGAGGAATTCAGAGAGTTAGAATTTGATAGAATACAAAGAGTGGATGCACCTGCGCCATTGCAAACGATTTCAAGCCATGTCGTTCAAAGTCTCTAACCATTGGTGACTTTCGTCTCGCGGACCCCAACCAGGTAGTCGACAATTACCAACATTACTAAGTCCACTTGTCAGTGAGTTCATGGATTTATGCCATGTTTTGGTCTGGCCGCCCCCAACTTTCTTCCAACCTACTCCTACACCACAAAACATAGCTCATCGAGGCAGTCGGTGGTTAGCCATACGTAACACAAATCCCAACCACCTCAACTGATGAAGTTTCGATACTTCATCTATTGATTTGCCATGCCTACCTAGAACTCGTTTCCTAACGACAGCATTGCTTGTACGGTTGTCCCATGATACACGAGCAATGCTTTGGAGACACCTATGATCGAAAACCAGTAACCTACGAATATCTTCTACTCTTGACGGCTATGTTTCGCATCTGTATAGAAAGAACTACTGCGCAGTACATTTGTCCTTTGGTTAGCAAACGGATATCTCGCCTGCGCCATAAGTGACACAAGTTATTTAAAAGGGGTTAATCGTTGAATCATTGACTCAAAGGTCTTTTCTCCATAAGGCAGTGAAGCAACGTGAGATGTCATATGGTGACTGGTGACAAACAATGGGTTCATACACTATTTTTACCTTCAGGACTGTGGAACCCATTAGTTTGAAATGCGGGTTTCCCAATTATCATAGGTGGGTTATTCTCTGTACCCACCAACGTGGTTTATGCACCGGGTATTCGCTTTTCGTTTGCTTAGTTTTGAGAAAACTTTCCAACATCTATATCGCCTGTGCTTAGAAAAATTACTAGTTAGAATTGAAAACGTACTCATTTATTCAGTATTGAAAATATCTGACTAGCTTAGATTGGAAGTGTTACATTGTCTCTTACTTCTATCATGACGAATCAGTTTAAGCTAACAACCACTTATTAAAACTGTTGTTTTACGAGGTCTTACCATACTACACAGGTCGGCTAGAAAAGAATTTAGACCAAAAGTAGCAAGTCGTAAGTCTAGTGACAAAATCCTATTGTTAGCTGTCCCAGGATGTAGCTGTAGTCACATGTCTCATAGATATCTAGCCTTACCAAAAACTAAGGGTAGGTTCTGAAAAGGTTGTCTTTAAAATTAGCATAATCTCAAAAGATCTCAATATCACTTGTCATGTTTAAAGCGTAGAGTT